TACATTACCATACTGTGTACATTACCATACTGTGTACATTACCATACTGTGAACATTACCATACTTTGTACATCACCATACTCTGTACATTACCATACTGTGTACATTACCATACCGTGTACATTACCATACTATGTACATTACCATACTGTTTACATTACCATACTGTTTATATTACCATACTGTGTACATTACCATACTGTCTACATTACCATACTGTGCACATATTGTATACATTACCATACTGTTTAAATTACCATATTGTGTACATTACCATACTCTGTTCATTACCATACTGTTTACATTACCAAACTGTTTACACTACCATACTGTGTACATTACCATACTGTTTACATTACATTACATATGTTGGCTTATCAGTACTTACAGTGACACTCAAGTACCTAAACCACACATAAACACGTGGTTGAGTTAACAAAAATACTGTATATCCCATAAGTTACAGCTATGATCAGCCGCGTGTGTTTATCAAAAGTTAGGGAATCAAGCTAGACACTTTGTGTCATCAAGATCATGAACATCCATCAAATGAGACAATGACCCAAAGATTTGAAAAACTAGCTTGCATATTTATGAAAAACTATAAACTTTTATCTATTTTACAACAATTACGAATCAAGTTATTGCCACTTCTATAAATAACTTGTTCTGCCGTATCGTGCGAGGGTCTTTATGTGGGATAAAACCAGAGCACCCGGAGCAAACCAACATAGTTGGTTTGAAAGAGAGGGCGTATAATCTAATAATTTGCCTAGCGGAGCGAGGCCAAAAAATTTTTGGACCTTATTTTTGCTAAAAATCTACGGAACACCCATCGGATGGGGGAATCAGTATAAAAAGAAATCAGAGTATGTGTTTAATTAATGAATATGATAAATTGCCATATTCAATACAATATTAGCAGATTACGATAGACTTTTTTTAAGCCGCTCTAGGCGAGAGACGAGCGGCTTATAAGTTCTGTCCAGAAAACGAAATGACGGACCCACTTCCGTTCGGGGTGCGTGCGCATATTTCAGTTTTGCATGCTTCCGCTATATAGTTTCGTTATCGTAAATAGAAAGTAGAATCTCTGACCACTCACCTGTGGGTTACATAAAGTCTTCTGATACTCTTCTCTTAATAATAATCCATACTTTAAATAATTGCTGAAAACAAAATGTTTATCTCCGGTGCATTCTACGAGTGTTGTGGTGAAATTCGTGCACTGGGTTAGAGCGTTTTAGCAACTCTGATTGAGGTCTGAGGAGGTTTACGCGTGTGAAACACATGATTCGAAAAAGCACATGTGAAGCCTGTCAATCATTGACGCTGTCTGTAGAAGGAAGAAGTAAATATATAGATACTTATAAACCGTATGAGTGATGAAGTATAACCTTTATTTTGATGTTTCAAACGGGAACGTAATATGACATATCGTGCTTAGGTTGATAACGGTAATGGCTCTTGAGACGAGACGATATATGTGAACCGTGTATGCTTATCAAACATTTCTGTAATACAGCATGCTTTTTCTGGTGTATTTATTTATGCAAATGTAACAATCTAAGAACATGACACAACTGCCGCTGCTGTTTGACAAGAATTCGCGCCGTGTCAAAATATTATCCAATCCGGTGTAAGGGAAATAACTCTTACGTTGGTAAAGTCGCATTGAGAGATATTTGTGAGATTTTGTATACTCAATGACAGTAAATAAAGACACTACATATATTATTAATGATTATTAATATGAATGAAAAATAAATAAAATTAAAAGGAGTACAATGTCTCTTTTATCCATGCATGTTTTCCCCACTACTGTTAATTACTCTCATTTCACAAGCACAAATGCACCTATTCTTTATTATCCATTCAGAAAATTATAACAATGCGTCACACTTAAAGAGGGTGAAAAAGGAGGAGAGGGAGAATTTTTTAAGGCATCATTTAAGAGGTGATTGATTTTGGAAATTCCAAAGGCAACATCATCACATGACCTGATTTTCAATTAGCATAATACAGAACAAATGTCTGAGGTATTATAGTAGATATTGATGTTCAACGTGTTACTGAAGCAATTAAATTTAAAGTGGTGAGCGGCTTTAATGTCACACTGACATAATTCTAGTTGTTAGGTTTTTTTTAAAAGGGGTACGCCCATTACGCCCTCACCTGGACCCGCCCCTGCAAGTGATCACATACCTTTTCACGTCCCATCGAGGAATCGAATCCCGGCCGCCGTGGTAAAAGGCTGGTGCGCTATCCACCCGACAAGTGTATATGATTAATAGACGACGATATGGGGGGGGGGGGGGGGGNATGCCATCTTGGATCCAAGATGGCGCCTTAGCAACCCCCTTAACCTACGGCCCCATATCTTCATCACTTCATCATGTGGTTATTTTTGCGTGTGACGTCATCAATTTAGTGTTACTGACTGAATTATCTCCCCCTGTTTTCAATAGGTTTGTATATTGAGTGTGACGTCATTTTGACGGAATTAACTCCCCTTGTTTCTGACTTTTTACCTTCTGATTTCGGGTATTGCATCCATGGACTGTCTCTTTCTCTCTCTGCAATGCTTGACAGACCTGCGAACCCTTGCATGAGGAGAAAGAATGCATGCATAAATGAAAATCGCTATTACTTGTACATTGTTTTCAATAGGCGTGTGTATTGCGTGTGACGTCATCAAATGGCATTTACCGACGGAATTCAGAATTCTCCACCTCATTGAACGAGTTTCCTCCCAACACGACGTCACGACCCATGAAAAAAATCATCATTTAAGATCAAATATTAATTAACTACCTTTCAGCATCCAAGCTGTCCGAGGGCCTGAGGCCAAACCTGATCAGGTTCTTTGTATATATACCAGTATGTTTATGTTTAGACTGATCGACAGTGTGGTACAAGATGGCGTCCAGGTTCGGGATCGCATTATTTGGTTTGGGGAACATGGGTAAGTCTATAGCTCGATGGTGGTGTAGTTTTTCGTAGACTTACAGATTGGCAGGACTGTTTAATGTTACAGACTAGTTTTGTTTATCACCTTTGTGATTTGTTGAGATTTACATGTTTTAGCGGTAAAAAATGGTTGTTGGAAACTTGTTTAGCGACAAGAGAATAGTTAAAATAAATCACTGAAGTTAAACCTTACCATACGGAACCTTTATACAAAGTAAAGATGAAAATAAATATATAACCAACAGTGATAATCAAAATGTAACGGGGCTAGACCAGGATTCAAACCCCGATCACAATACGTGGTCGCTCCTACCAACTCAACAACCCGATATGTGGTAATTCCTCTAAAATAAAATTAAGGGGAGATAACCGTATGTATAAACAATACAGCGGAAACCTTTAGTGGTTTGCCTGCTGTGGGACAAAGAGTCTTTATTAATTTATGGTACAGCAATACTAGGTAAGTTCGCTTAAACATTTACCTACATACTTGATAATTCTTAACAAGTGGAATAGTTTCTGTAACGTACCAATGCTGATTTCACTTTGGAATAGTTTCTGTAACGTACCAATGCTGATGTCACGTGTGCCATTTCGTTATTTCGGCTTTTGCTATGTCCCGTTCTGGTTTTTTCGCCTGGAAAGACAAATAAATAAAACTATATATGGTTGAATAAGGCCTTTTCGCAGAACGCCGAGAATTCAGATTTTATGATTTTCGTCTTTTCGAGGGGATAAGACAAAACAGCGAGAATTAAGGTTTGTCGAAATTCTTCTTTCTGGGGCGAAAAAACGACACATCGCGATTGGACAAATCAGCTATTTGAATTAACCGATGACAAATGTAAAGATATGTTCTCGTGTATATTTGTTAAAAGGCTTGGTGCATGCTAAGAACGTAAGATAGGTTCTCGTGTGTATTTGTTAAAAGGCTTGGTGCATGCTAACAATGTAAGATATGTTCTGGTGCGTATTTGTTAAAAGGCTTGGTGCATGCTAAGAACGTAAGATCGGTTCTCGTGTGTATTTGTTCAAAGGCTTGGTGCATGCTAACAATGTAAGATATGTTCTCTTGCGTATTTGTTAAAAGGCTTGGTGCATGCCAACAATGTAAGATAGGTTCTCGTGTGTATTTGTTAAAAGGCTTGGTGCATGCTAACAATGTAAGATAGGTTCTTGTGTGTATTTGTTAACAGGCTTGGTGCATGCTAACAATGTAAGATATGTTCTGTTGCGTATTTGTTAAAAGGCTTGGTGCATGCTAACAATGTAAGATAGGTTCTCGTGTGTATTTGTTAAAAGGTTTGGTGCATGCTAACAATGCAGAGATATGTTCTCGTGTGTATTTGTTAACAGGCTTGGTGCATGCTAAGAATGTAAGATAGGTTCTCGTGTGTATTTGTTAACAGGCTTGGCGCATGCTAACAATGTAAGATAGGTTCTCTTGCGTATTTGTTAACAGGCTTGGCGCATGCTAACAATGTAAGATAGGTTCTTGTGTGTATTTGTTAACAGGCTTGGCGAATGCTAACAATGGAAGATAGGTTCTCGTGTGTATTTGTTAACAGGCTTGGTGCATGCTAAGAATGCGATTTTGTCCCCGAGGGCTTCTGTGAAATGGATCATCCGAAACCGTCTTGAAGATGCTGAGAAGTTTGTGAAGGATCTGAATCTGAGCGCACGATGTACGACACCTGATAGAGTGGATGAGGTTTACGCTGACCCAGAGTACGTAGCCGAATGACCCTGGTCAAAACTACAATTGTATTACCATTTTATGACATGAAATGTTACATAAGGTTACCGTAAATGTTTTATATTAATTAAGGTATTCTTGACATCAATGATCATTTCTTTTTGATATCAGGAAACTCTCGATTTCAAGGATAAGGACGTATTCGATCATCGCTAAAAGCGGATTCATTCTTGTTTTGTTTAAAGGGGATAACTCACGAGAAAATATTTTCTCGTTTACAGATAGTGCCGACTGTTACCGATTGTCGATAAAAAGTTGATTCGAACAAAGACCAGTAAACACACTTATAAAACAAGCCTAACATGCACATCTCAATGACTAGTTAGCTCACCTGCCCGAAGGGATAAAGGATTACCAAGTTTGTTCAAATGAATGACCTTCACCCATTTGCAAGGTCACAGGGGTAAAATATGTTTAAACAACTTCTAAATAATCTTAAGGTCCAGAGTAGTCATATTTTGCCAGAAACATGCTGATATGAAAGGCTATAAAGTCTGTTCAACTTTATGTCCTTGTTTGACTTTCAAGTTCACACGGTCACATGTTTAAAACTTTTAATATATTCTTTTGAATCAAACACTGGTGTTTTACTTGTAGCTATATTTTAGTCACCTATTGAGAATACAAGTGTAAGATTAATACCAGGTGAGCGATTCAGGCCCATTGGGCCTCTTGTATCTGTTTATGTAAACTAACTTGTCAACAAACACCCCAGCAGGACATAATAATCATGATTTACATGTGAATAAAAAATACCTACCGTTGACGTTAAACGTAACTGTCTTAAGAGTCCAACTGTATATTAGTAAACATTTCCTACGAATCTTTATTATTATGTAAATGTAAAAAGCAGTTTAATGAATGTGAATTAAAATGTTTATATAAATAGATATCTCCATTTCATACTCAAGGTTGAAGGTAAAAGGTAAAAAAAATACTTGTCAATAATATAAGTAGGTGGTTGATTGTATGAATTTAGGATAGGCGTGCATGGGACATAAACATATTAACTTATTAAAATGTTATCTAATCTTTATTTACAACATAACCAGCATTACAAAGTTAAACTTCCATAACAGCGGTAGAATATTTTAGGAGCTTTTTATTAGCTCACCGGGTCCTAAGGACCAAGATGAGCTTATGTCATACCGTGGTGTCCGTTGTCCGTCCGTCCGTCCTCCGTACGTCAACAATTTCTTCAAACGACTTCTCCTTCTTAACCACTGATTGGAATTTAACTAAAATTGACTGGAAGCATCCCTAGGTGGCGGGGATTCAACATTGTACAAATAGTACGGCCGATCCCCAAGGGGGATGAGGGGCGGGGCCAAAAGGGGGTAATTTGGCTATATTGCTATAAACGACTTCTTCTATAGAACTATGCACTGGATATCAACCATATTTAGTTGGGGCGAATCATAGTTTATTACTTGGAAATGGTTGAGATCCCCACCCTATAACTATATATACAATTGCTGAGTAAAAAGAGAAATATGCACATATGCTTCCAGGATTGCCCTGGGGTCTGCCCCCACCCTTGGAGACATAGTCTATGGGTCATAACTTTGAAACGGTTGAGATCTCCATCCCAAAACTGTATATTCAAATTCTGGGCATAAAAAAGACGAATGCATTCATAATATTACAATAGACCCTGGGGTCTGGCCAAACCCTTAGGGACCTTGTTTCTGAGTCCCACCTTGGAAACAGTTGAGATCCCACCCTATAACCAAATTTATAATTGCTGGGCATAAAGAGACGAATGCAGTCATGATATTAAAATTGACCCCGGCGTCTGCCCCACCCATGCAGACTCAACCCCTGGGTCATAACTTTGAAACGGTTGAGATCCCCACCCTTTAACCATACAAACAATTGATGAGTATAAAAAGACGAATGCACATATGCTTCCAGGATTAACCCGGGGCCTGCCCTACCCTTAGATACTCAACCCCTGGATCTTAATTTCAAAACTGTTAAGATCCCCATCCCTAAACTATATAAGCGATTGGCATTAAGAGACGAATGCAGTCATGATATTAGAATTAACCCCGGGGTTTGCCCCACCTTTGCAGACTAAACCCCTGGTTCATAAGTTTGGAACGGTTGAGATCCCCACCCAAACACTATATATTCAATTGCTGGGCATAAAAAAGACGAATGCAGTAATGATTTTATAATTGATCCTGGAGTATGCCCAAGGATTGGCCTTGCGATCTGGCCCATTCCCTTGTGTTTTATTTGGAGAATATTTTTCCATGATTACTGAAATATCCATATGAGCGATACAGGCCCTATGGGCCTCTTATATTGTAAGAGTGTCGTCATCTTGTGATCAGCACATAAATAATAATACATTAGAATGATCAAATGTTATTCTGAATTAAATTGATTTGTACAGAAATAAAATCGGTCGAAAGTCCTTCAGAAATAAACATTCTTTATCGCCATGACGAAAGCCATGTTGCTAAAAAAAATCACAACAACATTGACTTCAAATTAACGCTTCTGTTCGTTGCTTTGTCAAAGTTGTTCTGAAATTGTTTTATTCATAAACATGTGTCGTTTGCTTATGTTACATTGCATGCAATTAAGAAAAAATTAAATATATACAGCATATTTTCACTGATTTTCTGATTTTCCACAGGGTGCATGCCACATTTATATGTTCCCCTTCAACGACACATGATAAAATTATACAGGATTCTCTCTACGCAGGTAGGTCTAATGGTACTGTCGACAATGTCACGCCAACCATATACGACACAAATAAAGATGTTCTCGCTACAGGTAAGTCTAAGAGTCTAAAGAATCTAAGTCATTAAGATGCCATCGATCAATCCATGTCACACGGGATTCCCTCGTAGAAATCATGTAGGATTCTCGTCCACAACAGAAGATTCTGTAACATAATCCAAGCCGAGGCGTTACAGAATATTAGACCGAGAATGAGATAACACGAGCATGCTCAGTTACATTACTTTTGTTCACGCACTTTCTAGTTCGAAAAACAACTGAATACGCTATAGTATACAAGCGTCCCGTCATGCACCGCAATATATATATATTGCCTGTTCACTTCTAAAGCTACGTTTGAACGCTTTCACGTAAACAATGTAGTCCGTCCTTACTTGACAGAAAACATATTTCACAGTGATGATTACATTTTATTTACAACATCAGGTCGCACACCAAAACAATCTTTAATATTTTTGTTTAATATACTAGTGTATCAGCGCTGGTAAATGCATCGTTGTGTGAAATAACCGCAAAATGTCGCGTAAATGTGCCAGACAGATCGAACGAAATAGAAAAATCTAGAACTGGGTATCACGTGGGATATCTCTGTCTGAGGTGCGAGAAAAGAGTAATTAGAATTCGTAAGCGATCGCATTGTATTGTTATATTTATTCCTCAGGTTTATAAATCATTATAATATATGACACAATTTTTTCCTTACTCCTCATTGGTTAGATGACAACAACGTGGGTGTCGATGATTAATGACTTGGTGTTACTATATTTAGAAAGAACAAGTTAATATTTACTTTAACAAAGGGCAATAATTGATCAATATCAACTGCTTATATACAGGCTAATAATTAACTTTAAAACAATAAACAGTCGTGAAGATATTGCACATTTTAAAGAGGATACTCTTGGTTACTGGTTTGGACATTTTACCCAAAATATCCTTATCTGTCGTACGCGGACATTACAAATGGATAATGAAGTTCATCCTCGAAACTTTAGGGTTTACGCTCACTACGTTTTAAGTACCCCAGCAATATGTCATGACGAAGTCGAAAGCTCTGTACGCGCAGCATTGGTGAGGATACAAGAACACTAGTTTCATCTTTTGATACATCAAAATAATCAATGTTATCATGACATAATCCACGGTAAAAAGAATGTAAGTGTGCGTAACGCCCTGTAATCTCGTGGATGAGTAACGATCGACGCGCACTCATTGGTGACGACATCTGGTGGAGTAGTTTTACTGATCATGTACATGTGGTTGTACGGTATTGACGATCCTGGAACAGGAAATATTGATACAAGTGTGTAGTTAAATATTGATCTTGGAATATTGATATGGTTGTGTATATAAATATGGTAATATCAATTTTGGAATATTGATATGGTTGTGTGTATAAATATGATAATATTGATAAGGTTGTGTATATAAATATGGTAATATTGATAATGGAATATTGATATGGTTGTGTATATAAATATGGAAATATTGATCTTGGAATATTGATATGGTTGTGTATATAAATATGATAATATTGATCTTGGTTATGCAGATAAAGCAGTTTTCTGCGAAAAACCTGTCACTGTTGCTATAGACACAACAAGGAAATGTTATGATCTGGCAGAGGCTAGAAACCTTCCACTTTTCTGCGCATTTCACAGGTAAACTTCAAGTATACATAAAGCTAGTTGTATCTATTCCTACATCAAATCAGAGTTATTCGTTTATTATTCAGAAAATATTTTCATAGATTAACGAGCGTAAAAAAGCATGAGACATTGCCCATTCTTTTTCCAGCTGGAAACTTTCATTTCTTATTTTGTGTAACCCATCAATCTATTTCCAGTTTACCGTTTTTGGTTTTAGATTCGTGCTTAGTTGCATCTCGGAGTGTCAATTTAAAATATTATAGATCAGAGTATATGTTGTAGCTGGGTTTAATTTTTCTTTAAAGGCAATTCGACCCAAGTTTTAAGAAACTTTACGATAGGATCCACTCTGGGGAGTTAGGACGAGTACGACTGATCAAGGTGACTAGTCGAGACCTCTGCCTGCCACCTCTCTCCTATCTGAAAACATCAGGTAAATAAACAAACTACTACGTGAATGCCTCAGATATTTGATTTCTTTTTCTTTTTCTTTTTCTTTCAAATACAACGACTTAGATATCATACTCTTTACAAACTTGGGGGGGGGGGGGGAATACTTAAGTGTCATAAAATGTCATTCGAACTCAAAATCGATAGAAATCGGACAAAATAGAAACAAATGTAAGTTATCGAGGGAGTCCTTCTTTAACACTGTCGGTATGTTAATCTTAAAATGAATTAAATGTGATGACTTTTAACAGTAAAGTTTCCTGTGTCCTACGTCACTGCATTTGAAGTTGATTAAACAGCAATATGTACACTATTCTACCAACACACCCTTCTTCGTGTCTCCTTAAACCAAGGGCAATAAATATTGAACTCTACAGAAACAATAACACAGCAATAGATATTGTACTCTACGGAAACATTAACACAGCAATATATATTGTACTCTACGGAAACATTAACACAACAATATATATTGTACTCTACGGAAACATGAACACAGCAATATATATTGTACTCTACGGAAACATTAACACAGCATTATATATTGTACTCTACGGAAACATGAACACAGCAATATATATTGTACTCAACGGAAACATTAACACAGCAATATATATTTTACTCTACGGAAACAATAACACAGCAATATATATTGAACTCTACGGAAACATTAACACAGCATTATATATTGTACTCTACGGAAACATTAACACAACAATATATATTATACTCTACGGAAACATGAACACAGCAATATATATTGTTCTCTACGGAAACATTAACACAGCAATATATATAGTACTCTACGGAAACATTAACACAGCAATATATATTGGACTCTACAGAAACAATAACACAGCAATGTATATTGTACTCTACAGAAACAATAACACACCAATAGATATTGTACTCTACAGAAACAATAACACAGCGATAAATATTGTACTCTACAGAAACATTAACACAGCAATATATATAGTACTCTACGGAAACATTAACACAGCAATATATATAGTACTCTACGGAAACATTAACACAGCATTATATATTGTACTCTACGGAAACATTAACACATCAATATATATTGTACTCTACGGAAACACTAACACAGCAATATATATTGTACTCTACGGAAACAATAACACAGCAATAGATATTGAACTCTACAGAAACATTAACACAGCAATATATATTGTGCTCTACGGAAACATTAACACAACAATATATATTATACTCTACGGAAACATGAACACAGCAATATATATTGTTCTCTACGGAAACATTAACACAGCAATATATATTGGACTCTACGGAAACATGAACACAGCAATATATATTGCACTCTACGGAAACATTAACACAGCAATATATATTGGACTCTACAGAAACAATAACACAGCAATGTATATTGTACTCTACAGAAACAATAACACAGCGATAAATATTGTACTCTACAGAAACATTAACACAGCAATATATATTGGACTCTACGGAAACATGAACACAGCAATATATATTGTACTCTACGGAAACAATAACACAGCATTAAAGATGACAATGTTTACACTCCATTATTGTCGTCTGCTTCAGTTTATCGGAATTTAGGAGCGGCGGCTCTTTCCTATTTTTCTAGATTGGTTCCAAATAAGGGATCTTGGGTAGAGAAACTCGAGTGCGTAGGGCCAACACGATGTTTTATTTCCCAGTCATGTGATGAATGAGGTATCAGATGAGGTTTGATAAATTTGAATAAAATCTTGAAGGTTGATTCAAATTTCTGAAGGATAATCTTGTTTGTGACAGGTGGAATCATAGCCGATTCAACCATCCATGACTTGAATTTCGCCCTATGGTTGGCTGGTTCTAAGCCTCAGACAGTTTATGTTCAGGGCATGAACTTTAAACCAGAGTTAGCCTCCATCCCCGACCTGGACCAGGTTCTCGTTACCATTAAACACGAGAACGGCACCCTAACCCTCATCGACAACGGGAGACTAGCACCGTACGGCTATGACCAAAGACTGGAGGTAAAAAGGTTTCCTAAAATATGTATTCAGATAAAGAGTACCAAAAAATAAAACTGTATTATTACCACTATCACATATATTAATTTATGTCCTTTTCAAAAGAAACATTAAATAAAATGCACATGTTTTCCTGCATTTGAAACTTTGAAAATAAAAAAGATGTAACCATTACTGGCGCGAACTGAGTACTGTTACACTTTACCAGTGTTGCAATTCAGGGAATATACATTAACAGCACCAAAATGAGAGTCCAATTTCTTATACACAAAAATAGAAATTGACATTGAAAAAAAGCACATAACATGACACCGTAATTCTGGGGAAACTCCTTTTGGTTGCTTCGTCATATAATATTTAAATACAATATACGGGAGATAGCTCAAAGTCAAAAACTGTGTGTAGAACTCTGCGATCGGTACCCTTTAAATCAAGTGATGGATGTTGCAAATGCCAATCAGAAATATGCATATACATGTACAGTAGCTACCGGAAGTGTTTGCAACAAAAAATAATAGTTTAGATTGATGCGTACAAAGTCTACTTTTATAATATGGTGCATTTGAAATACAGTTTAATTGTCAAATTGTTAAGAAGGTCTAAATGTATCCTAATTATGCATTGTACCGTCTTCTATATGAGAAAAATCACGAATTTTAACGATGCAAGCCTATGCTGTTTTGTAATGAATTAATTTCTTATCATTATGAACCAGGTACTTTGTGAAGAAGGTTTGCTTTCCGTAGGAAATCGTGAATGTGATCACGTGACGGAGGCAGGACACCACGTAACCTCAGAGCCTCGTATTTACGATCAGTTTACTAACCGATACAACGAAGCCTACAGCAACGAATTGGAGCACTTCCTTGACGTCCTTCAGGGTATATATACTACATAATTAATATATAGGTAGCGGAGAAGAACTATCGACACAAGAAGTAAACAAAAATAGCCAATCTGGTCTTATCCTGAGTGCTCTAAATATATACAGATTGATCCATCATTATAACGTTTCATTTTATACATTATAGCTGTATATTTAGGTTAACAAAATTAACTTTTATTATGTTTTCTTTCGGAATGAGAGTCATCAGTTCGGTAACAATGATAATTAATAAGTTTGTTTTGAACACAAAAAGTAATTGCAAATAAATTATTTTTCGAGCTTTCGAAAACGTCTGTTTGCTTTGTCAAGCAATGAGTGCAAATGACCGGTGTCTGGACTCCATACCACTGAAAACAAGTAATTAAGTAAACCTTAATATGCAGAGTCGGTCAAGTCAGTTGTCAGAAAATATCATAATATCAGTTGTTAAGTGCTTGAAAGGGAGGACAACTAGAAAGTGAGGAAAATCAAAGAATCCATCTGGGTTAGGAGGAAAAGGGGAATCGATGAACTGAGACGAGGGGGCCACCAGCTGAGACATCTTTATAACCCCATTTTGACATCCACTTAGGGGCGGGATGGGAAAACATATTACTCGTCCCTCTGACTACATACAATATTAGAGTGGTATTTGGCGAAATGTGTCCATATTTTATTTTGACAGCTGACTTTACTAAATAAGCTTATAGTTATTTTTATTTCCACAGGGAAGTCAGATCTACGTATTACTAAGAATGACACCGTGGAGACGATGCGTCTGATTCAAGCTTGTAAGCTGTCTATAGCACGCGGCCTTCCAGTAGATTACAATGAGGAGCTTGAATAAATAACGTACACGTCTGATATTATTAAATGTATATTAATAGTGTCATATAATTCCTCATATCTCATATTGATAATTTACATTGGGAAATGTAATATTTGAATTCATTTATACACACACGTCTTTTACGTTGCGTACATGTTCATTTATGAACTTAAATGAATTTACAGCAATTATAAAACAAATGCTAACAACTTTTACCACAATTTTACACCAGCAATGTTTTTTCTTGTCATTTGAACCGTGACATTTACTTATAGTATTGCAAATTTTAAAAAAGTTGTCATCGCAAGGTAAAGCTTTGTTCTGTCACAGAATTTACTGAGTGACACAAAGCCAACATTGTTGTTGTAGTTTTGATAGGGTTAAACGTTTAATATAGTATAAGTGATGTTTTGGTGATTTTGGATTGCACTATGGAGCTTTCCTACATATTTCGTTTCCGCCATGTCGTCTGATATTGAAGGAAGGATTTTTAACATCCCAGATCAATATTTTTCATCCAGCAATTTGACAGCATTGGGCGATTCGACCCTGGAGAAGCCAGCAATGTTATAACGCAGTTTTACTGCGAAAATGGATATGATATTAATCATGGCTTATCTGTAGTTTGTGGACATTGTTTGTATTTGGGGAAAAAAGACCAGTCTTTTCTTCAGATGAAATCCCTCTTCTACCCGTTGCACAGTTCAATGTTGATACCAGAAAACTGTCGTTAACTATTAATCAAGTGAACAATGTTACGAACGTGGAAAGCGCATTTACGCATAACAAATATTATCAGATTTTAAAGATTGTAGTAATATAAAATTGACCTCATTAATATGTTTCATTGTATATTATTTTATATAGAGCTCAACATTTTTAAATTAGATCAATACAAAAATAAAGAATATACATTAATTTTGTTTTTTTAATGTATACATTCGCCACAAACATCGAATTATATACATTTGTATGTTTAATGTTTATGCCTATATAAGTAAGTCTTCGAAACGAGACAAATATGTACATTTATAAACATTGCAAAATAAAGAGTATTTAAAAGAAAGCATCTGTCTTATATTTTTGATGCAGGTTTAAAATGTCATGATATTGTGATGTGTGATTTTTCTGCGAAACGAATAAGGCAGCCGTAAGCAGCGTAAAAGAAAAACAAAGAAACATAATTAAAAAAGATTGGATAGTAAAAGATGCGATCCGAACTGTCGTAATTTGGTATGTTAAACGTATCATGTGTAGAACCAGCACAGGGAAAACGCTCACCGCCTGGTCCATCCCCCTCGACCAGTCTGGGGGGGTTGTACCTAGCACACAGGGGAACAGTCTGGCGTGGTTGTACCTAGAACACAGGGGAAACGTTCACCGCCTGGTCCATCCACCTCGACCAGTCTGGCGTGGGTGTACCTAGCACACAGGGAAAACTCTCACCGCCTGGTCCATCCCCCTCGACCAGTCTGGCGTGGCTGTACCTAGCACACAGGGAAAACTCTCACCGCCTGGTCCATCCCCCTCGCCCAGTCTGGCGTGGTTGTACCTAGCACACAGGGGAAACGCTCACCGCCTGGTCCCTCCCATCGACCAGTCTGGCGTGGTTGTACCTAGCACACAGGGAAAACGTTCACCGCCTGGTCCATCCCTCTCGACCAGTCTGGCGTGGTTGCACCTAGCACACAGGGGAAACGCTCACCGCCTGGTCCATCCCCCTCGAGCAGTCTGGCGTGGTTGTACTTGCTAGCACACAGGGAAAACGTTCACCGCCTGGGCCATCCCCCTCGACCAGTCTGGCGCGGTTGTACCTAGCACACAGGGAAAACGTTCTCCGCCTGGTCCATCCCCCTCGACCAGCCTGGCGTGGTTGTACCTAGCACACAGTGGAAACGCTCACCGCCTGGTCCATCCCCCCTCGCCCAGTCTGGCGTGGTTGCACCTAGCACCCAGGGGAAACGCTCACCGCCTGGTCCCTCCCCCTCGACCAGACTGGCGTGGGTGTACCTAGCACACAGGGAAAACGTTCGCCGCCTGGTCCATCCCTCTCGACCAGTCTGGCGGGGTTGCACCTAGCACACAGGGGAAACGTTCACCGCCAGGTCCCTCCCATCGACCAATCTGGCGTGGTTGTACCTAGCACACATGGAAAACGTTCACCGACGGGTCCATCCCCCTCGACCAGTCTGGAGTGGTTGTACCTAGCACACAGGGAAACCGCTCCCCGCCTGGTCCATCCACCTCGACCAGTCTGGCGTGGGTGTACCTAGCACACAGGGAAAACGTTCACCGCCTGGGCCATCCCCCTCGACCAGTCTGGCGTGGATGTACCTAGCACTTAGGGAAAACGCTCGCCGCCTGGTCCATCCCCCTCGACCAGACTGGCGTGGTTGTACCTAGCACACATGGAAAACGTTCACCGACGGGTCCATCCCCCTCGACCAGTCTGGAGTGGTTGTACCTAGCACACAGGGAAACCGCTCCCCGCCTGGTCCATCCCCCTCGACCAGTCGGGCGGGGTTGTACCTAGCACTTAGGGAAAACGCTCACCGCCTGGTCCATCTCCTTCGACCAGTCTGGCGTGGTTGTACTTGCTTCTGGCGTGGTTGCACCTAGCACACAACGGAAACGTTTACCGCCCGCTCCATCCCCCTCGACCAGGCTGGCGTGGTTGTACCTAGCACTTAGGGAAAACGCTCCCCGCCTGGTCCATCCCCTTCGACCAGTCTGGCGTGCTTTTACTTCCTAGCACACAGGGAAAACGTTCACCGCCTGCTCCATCCCTCTCGACCAGTCTGGCGTGGGTGCACCTAGCACACAGGGGAAACGCCCACCCCCCGGTCCAACCCCCCTCGACCAGTCTGGCGTGGTTTTACCTAGCACACAGGGAAAACGCTCACCTTCTGGCCCCTTCCCCTCCACCAGGCTGGCGTGGTTGTACCTAGCACACAGTGGAAACGCTCACCGCCTGGTCCATCCCCCCTCGCCCAGTCTGGCGTGGTTGTACCTAGCCCACAGGGGAAACGCTCACCGCCTGGGCCATCCCCCTCGACCAGTCTGGCGCGGTTGCACCTAGCACACAGGGGAAACGCCCACCCCCCGGTCCAACCCCCCTCGACCAGTCTGGCGTGGTTTTACCTAGCACACAGGGAAAACGCTCCCCGCCTGGTCCATCCACCTCGACCAGTCTGGCGTGGGTGTACCTAGCACACAGGGAAAACGTTCTCCGCCTGGTCCATCCCCCTCGACCAGGTTGTACCTAGCACACAGGGAAAAAGCTCACCGCCTGGTCCATCCCCCTCCACCAGTCTGGCGTAGTTGTACCTAGCACTTAGGGAAAACGCTCCCCGCCTGGTCCACCCACCTCGACCAGTCTGGCGTGGTTGTACCTAGCCCACAGGGAAAACGTTCACCGCCTGGTCCATCCCCCTCGACCAGTCGGGCGGGGTTGTACCTAGCACTTAGGGAAAACGCTCCCCGCCTGGTCCATCCCCCTCGACCAGTCTGGCGTGGTTGTACCTAGCACTTAGGGAAAACGCTCACCGCCTGGTCCATCCCCTTCGACCAGTCTGGCGTGGTTGTACTTGCTAGCACACAGGGAAAACGTTCACCGCCTGGTCCATCCCCCTCGACCAGTCTGGCGTGGTTGTACCTAGCACACAGGGGAAACGTTCACCGCCTGGTCCCTCCCATCGACCAATCTGGCGTGGTTGTACCTAGCACACAGGGGAAACGCTCACCGCCTGGTCCATCCCCCTCGACCAGTCTGGCGTGGTTTTACCTAGCACACAGGGAAAACGCTCACCGCCTGGTCCATCATTACCCTATTATGGTAATGAACTATATTGATGTTCTCGAGATTCTATGCTCTTTTTGTGCCAACATACACATCAGGTTAACTTATATATTATAATATTGAATGCATATATAATTTATATCAGAGTCAAATGCTATTTTGGCAAGCAGTGAATTGTCCTGCCCTATATATGTTTACATTGAATATCAGCTTTATCAGAGGCACAGGTTGACAAACGTTTGTTATGAAAGTCAATGTATTTGGTTTATGCTCACGAGTGTTGCAAATCATAATGCGCTAGCGCGCAATATGTTGTTTACTTGCAAAGCTATGTCATTCAAATAGATCATAAATACCATACAAAAACAGTTCAATGCTTAAGTAAAGACTCATGAACAAAATCTGAAATTAATATCTAATATTTCGTATGAAAAGACAAAAGAAGAATTCAGAGAGACACCAAAACAATAAGGAAGACATCATTAATCCCAATATAAATTCTTGGATACAAAGCTTGGTGTTCCTTAAATATTTTCCAAGACAAAAAGTAGCTCTCCCGTTATCAGATCAAAGCAAGAATGTCTGTCACCTAACATAGCCTCGTTCTCGCACTATGCCACATTTGTATCTCAACTTCCGGCTCTTTTGAGATAGATTGATGATTGAGAGTGGAACAAATTAAAGCTTCTAGTTGCCTGTATTTGTTGATTATTGTAAAAGAAAAATGGTTGAAATCCGTGCCTGAAACGCTGCGCCCCTCAGGGAGCCCCAAAGTCGATCGTAAGTCTAACGCGTGACTTGCCATGATCTTGCCTTGTATACAAAATGGCCTCCTCGAGTTGCCCTGGTCCTCTCTAGTACATACTCCCAGAAAAATGTCTAAAGATGGCGGCGCCCATTAGTGTCCAGGTTGGATGAGCTCCGTACTCTTCGACATTATTTGTGCCTTTTCATGATGATTTCTGACATTTATTTGGGACAGAAGACGGCGGCAGGTTGTTACTACGTAAGCATGTAGCTGTGTTGCCTATCCGTGATTTATTTTGTGACTTATGAACCTTTGTTATATTGGGTGCTGTGTTTATTGTATCGCCTATATATATATAGTGAACGTTCTGAACCATGACCCCGATGCTCACCTGTTCTGAGACACGTCACGACGCACGGCCGAAAATCTGTCACGCTTCATCGACGCGCTACTGTTAGATTGTGTAGATGGCCGCGACATAACTATTTATAGTGTTAGTGAGATTTTACTTACCTCTGTAACGTCAACTGTGTAAACATGGGGAAGAGCAAGAAAAGGAAGAAGAATGATACAGAAGATGGAGATCAAAGCGAGAGCAGTAATAACTCTATAGGTACTGTGAGTAGCATACTGAACGCTGTGAGTGGTGTACTGTACGGCAGCCCTACCAAGCAGGCCCCTATCCCCCCATCTTCGACTCCGAAACCGACCTTTAGAGCCAAGGATGAAATCGAGTGTCATTATCAGTTTCACGACGAAACAAACCGTAAACTTGACTTTATACTCAGCAAAATGGAGAAGCTAGACAAGCTAGATACGATTGAAGAACATCTTTCTCGTTTAACTATCAGAGTAAATGAGGTTGAGAGACGTGTTTCAGATGCCGAACGGAAGTGTGGAGATTTCCAATCTACAGCTAATTTTGTATCGGACCAGTATGACGAACTCAGTGCCAATTTGGTTAGTTACAAGGAGTTGTCAAAGGCAGTAAAAGAACAAGAGGCAGTCATCAGTGGACTTTGTAGTGATTTTGATACACTCAGACTGGACCGCGACAATATGAAACAGACTGTTCTAGATCTACAGTGCAGGTCTATGAAATACAACCTTGTTTTCACCGGACTTTCAGGGGAAAACCGCAATGAGGATACCTTGGCTCTCATCAGGGACTTCATATATATAGAACTTGGTATTGAGCATAGGATTGACTTTGTCAACGTCCATAGGTTTGGTAGGCACATACGTGGCAAGCCCCGACCGATTGTTGCCAGATTCGTGTACAACCAAGATCTCCAACTGGTCAAAAGCAGGTCATTCCATCTGAAAGGGACCATGTTTGGCATTCATGAACAGTATCCGGCAGAAATAGAGGAAAGAAGGAAAAGGTTGTATCCAGTCCTCAAACGTAGCAAACAAGCTGGGAACACCGCAAAACTGATCCGAGACAGGCTGTACATAGACGGTAGGCTATACGAGGAACAACCAGGGATCACCCACAGCGACCAGGCCAGTTATGTCAACAAACGCGCAAACCAGCATACCAGCAGATCGGGTGGATTTTCTACAGGACAGGCGGACACACGGTCCACCTCAGCACCTGACAGAGGACGTCAACAGCCTACTGCTGCTCCGCGTCAGAGATATTCACCACCAACCCAGCCTCGCGCGATGAACAGACCTGCCACTTCGGCGAATCCACAGCCCAACAACAGGGGCCCCCAGCGGCCCTGGGAGGATCATCGTGCATAGGATCACGCGGAGAGTGACGCGCAACCGTATACGGCTGAGCGTGACCTGTCGGTACTGTCGTGGAACATTGGTAAAGGCCTATTAGGAAAGCTCTGTAATAGAGACTTTCTAGATATTATCAACAATTATGACATTGTGTGTCTCAGTGAATGTTGGTTATCTGAGAAAGATGAATTTGAGTTAGATGGTTATTGTAAATATATCTTCCCGAGGAAAACTGGTATCGGTGGGGGTATTGTTATATTCTATAAAAACTGTTTAAAAAACAATATATCGATAGTTGAAAATATTCACGATAGCATAATATGGTTAAAACTTTAAGGAAATTTAAGTTATAGCTACATTGTGTTTTGTTCTTTCCCCCCGAAAAAAGTGTTTTCTATGAAAATAACACAGAAGAAATAGATTTATTTCAAATTTTGCAAGATTCCATTATAAATTATAGATCAAATGGCAAAGTGTACATAACTGGAGATTTTAATGCCAGAACTGGTACCAGACCTGATATGATAATTAATGATGGATTGGGTAAAGATGGTAATGTATTATTTGATGCTGTTGACTATCAAGCTGATAGTGTGTATGATCTTACTGAGCGGAAAAGCATGGACAAATCTGTAAACTCTTTTGGAAGAAAGTTATTGTCTCTGTGTAAATCTACTAGTTTTAGGATATTGAACGGACGTCACTCAGGTGACCCGGATGGAAGTGTTACTTTCTTTAGTTCTATTGGTACAAGCCTTATAGATTACCTTTTAGTTGAGGGGGACAATTTTCAAAATGTAAAAGAATTTAAGTCTGATAATTTTGTAACTATGTCTGATCACTCACCTTTATCTTTTAAATTGAGATTAGATATACATTTTGATGAAGATTTACCTGGAAATCAAGCTCATGCTAGATGCGTTTGTGAAAATGTAAAGTGGAATGATGATAATGTAAACTCCATTAGACAGAATCTTAGTCAAAATATCAATGTATTAAGTGAACTCCTCGTTACACCTTTGTTAAACAAGTCAGATGTCGAATTATGTGTTGACAAACTTTGTTCTTTTCTAAATGAGATGTGTTTACCACTGTGTGATGTACATAGATGTAAGTCA